TAGTTGACTTGAGTGGAATTTTACATGTGTTTTAACACACAATCACTTTTGAGGATCAGGCACTATAAGTCAGACAAGCATTTTGAAAGAAATCTATTTTCACTTGAGTTTTTAATAAAAATCAGGTTGAAACTCCATTTTGTTTGTATTACGGAAAAGCTAACAGCCTTTACATCTGCTCTCAAAAGTAAACTTTTCGTTTCCTGGAAAGCAACATAAATTAACATTTGAATTTTACTGTTTTTAAGCATAGAATATACATATTATAGTTTGTTGCCTTTCACTAGGTGCCAAACTTCAAATTTCTCGACCTGTTATTTATAAATAGAAATTTAGGTATAGTACAAACGTGTGACAACATTGATAGCAGTCAATAGTTGTGACTGAATGTCCACCTTAATCACTATATAGGGCACCATTTATTGGTTACGCCATTTTACATCAGTGTCCGAACGTCTAGCGCAATGGTTCCCAAACTATTTTTGCCCAAGGCACACAAAAGGACAAATAAAAATTTCAAGGCACACCTGTTGTGTAAAATAACCTTACATCATGCTTTATCACTCATCATTTGTAAAGTTCATATTATTTAATAATGCTAAATAAAAATGTGGCAAAGACAACTATATTATTCATGATATATTTATTAAGAACACATTTCAAATAAAAATCTAAACTTAATCAAATTGGTCTGAATCAAACGCGCTCATTTAAACCTGAAAGGTGAGGCAAACGAAACAGAAATCCAGAATTGAGCTTTCTTTGAGAAAGCTTCACTGTTCATGGTTCTTAACCTAAACCACAAATTATAATTGTAACATTTAGAATCAGCCTTACATGTGGTTTTGTAATATTCCATCAACTAACAAATTAGTGGGACACATGTGCCTGTTGGTGTGTACACATTTATTTAAAATCCTTGGCGGCAAAGAGGAGACAGCCACTCGCAAGTCCTGCTCAACAGAGAGCTTGGTCTTTTTTTTCATATAAACAATGAAAAACTGAAAGCCACAGGTAGGTGGTTGGGAAATGAAGAAGCTAATTGATAGCGTGGCGGGAGAGGATTGGGTATTCTGATGCACAAACAAGCCAAAAGTGATAAAGTGGGAGCTCTTTAAAGGGAAACGGCGTTTTTTTTTTTTTTTTTTTTTTTTTTTTTTATTGGGCCCTATATTTTACATTATTATATCATGTTCTACTCACCCATATGAGTTTTGTGTCATTTGGAGCCGTTCTGAAGATATTCCGATAGGTTATATCCAAGTAACGTCTTCCGATGGGCAACGACTGGAAGACACAAACTCAACTGTTCATACTTTATCATTTATGGTACGCCAGTATTCATAACATATAGGCGAATCACTGTCCCTCAGACATCTGCGGTTATATTTTTTATATTTATATCTTTTAAAAACAAAGCTGAGTGTGTATGACGTCATTCAAGCACAGGACTTGTGACAGGCAGCCCGGGCCACAGGCGGCTACGCTCAACCCCTTCTATTCATTTGGCTAGCTAATCTGAATCGTTCAATTCCATTTTGAGAGTGAAATCATCTGTGGTAGTAGCACTAGACATCTTCCAGGACTGTGAGTAAAACTAGCAGCAGTTCAGTGGACAGGATGAAGGAATGGTAGCCGGAGCGCGCGGATAACGTCATACATACTCCGCTTTGTTTTAAAAGATATCAATATAAAAAATATAACCGTGGTTGTCTGGGGGACAATGTTTCGCCTACATGTTATGAATGCTGCATACTACAAATGCAAAAGTATGAACAGATAAGTTTGTGCCTTCAAGTCATTGCCCATAGGAAAACTAGTAAGACGCTACTTGGATATAACAAAACCGAATATCTTCGGAACGGCTCCAAATGACACAAAACGCATATGGGTGAGTAGAACATGATGTAATAACGTAAAATCAAGGACCCAATGTAAAAAGAAACTGCATTTCCCTTTAAATTTTAGTTCCAGATTGCAGTCCGCACGGATAACACATGTTCAAGGCTATTTTAAACAACAGGTGTGCCTTGAAATTTGTATTTGTCCTTTGGTATGCTTTGGGCACATATAGTTTGGGAACAACACCAAACAACAGTGTCTACGGCAGCTCACTTTAGATTATAATGATCTACCTTTTCTCAGGATCTGATGTGGTCCTTACAAAACAACACTGTCCAAATGAAAAAAAGGACTAGCAGATACTGAGTTTCCTGAAGCAGATCAGGAAGAAAACCTTTCATAGGACATGGTCATCTTCTAAACCTCCATTTTTCAGTGTATCGTGTGTTAGTTCAACAGTGTGTGACTGTGCTAATCCACAATGCAGAACAGAATGAACAGTGAACAATTATATCTGCAGAAAATACCTTTGGTTCTTCTAACCTTTGGCTCATCCAGGACTTGAACAGGTCTATGGCCAGGTTAGGTAGGTAGGATTATTTTTAATCAAGATTATCCTACTAGGACAATTTCACACTAACCAATGACTTTATCACTCTCTAATGACTTTGATTCTGTGTTTGACTGCAGCATCCACAGATTCTAAAAACAATAGCAGATTATAATCCCTGATCACAACTCTGAGTGACCTCATGTTGGTTAATTGATTCACCAGATTCATGTAACATTGTATAACAATAGACAATGAGTAGATCACATTAGCTGCCCGGTGGTTGAGTACAAAACTTCTCCAAGGTTTGAAAAGCATGTTTATCTGCAGCAGAAACATGCTGAGAGAGCATTAGATTCTCACCACACTGTAGATTTCTTTGGAGTCCAAAAGCTCCAGAGGAAGATGCCAGAAAGATCCAATGCTGTCATTCATTTTGTTACATCCTTTACAGATGCTCCTGTGATTAAGCTCTCCTTGGAAGATCTAAAAGAAACACCTTTAATACATTTTTATTCCTTTTAATATAAAAAAATTATATTTGAGAAAAAATGAATTTTAACCTTGGATGCTTGATTACTGGTAGCCTTTAAAACCTTCTTGAAGTACTCTGCTGCATCCTGCTGTTCATACACTGAAACAAGGGGAAAGAGAATGTTAGTGTCTTCTTCCTTTATTTTTCCTAATTCTAATTCATAATGAACTTGCAAATCTGTGTCTGGAGACAAGCATGGCAGGCAAGAAATATTTTTACATTTTATCAATAACAGAAAAAAAAAAACAATGTTTGGTCCTTGTAAGAATATATATTATCTGTGTGTATTAGTAAAGAATATGATAATTGGAGGATTGCATTCGAAAATTGTATATAAACAATAACTGTGCTTTTTTAACAGGTATGGTTTCATGTATAAAAAATTACTATAGCTATTTAGAATATGTATTAGTAAAGGGAGTACTTATACAAACCCTACCATTCTGAATGTCCAGGGCTTTTATTATTGCTGATGTGTTTGTTTGCTTTATCTGTAAATCTTCAAATAAATCTTTTAGATGATGACCAATTTTCTGGGAAGAGTCTTCTTTGACAGACCTATATGAATAAAAAAAACATCATGAGTGAAACACAGCAACACCTAAACCTGGTTTACGTTATTTAGAGTCAAAGAAGTAAACCCTATGTCATTATTAAGGTTTAAAGGGGCCTAGTGATACACAATGACTTTCACCAGTAGCTTACCTAACTTGCATACAAACACTGTCTCATTAAATTATGGCACCCTGTTTGCTCATTATGTAATACATGCTTTTGCAATGGTTTTCATACAATTTATTCGTAAACGAAAGCATTTTCCATATTTACCAAAATAAGACTGCAGGTACGATACTGTGCACAATAAGTAAACAAGGCAGAAATGGAGCCAAACAAGTTAGGATCTTACCCCAGTAAAGGGTTAAAAAAAAATGAAAAGTCTGAGATCAAGTGTGAAACCGTGGAAAAAATGGTGAATGCTCGAGGGATAAGAGACGAGTAGCGCTTGGAGCACAATACAGACATTTGAGTTCATTATATTGAGAGCTAAAGCCTCCAAAGCTGCCAAGTTGATGGATGCATTAGCAAATACTATCAGGATATGGCAAAAGCAATACTATCCTTTACGAAACTGAAAACAAAAATCTAAGTAAACATCTACTAAGATGAACGCTTGCCATATATTGTTTGATTTTCACATTAAACATAAGGATTTCAGAGTTATCTATAGGTATAATTTGTAAGTATACCCCTCTAATGTAAATAGATGGGCTACCTTTTACTTACTTCAGAACTGATCTAAAACTTACGTTTCAATCGCTGTCAATATAATGTGTCAGTAAAAAGTTAACAGACACAATGAGCATCAATATTGAATTCATTTTAAGAATTTTTGTTTTGGGGCATTACATTTTCATAATGTTCTTAAATGGATGTTTTATAACTTCAACAGTTTGAATTCACAGTGAATTTTATTTGTTTAATCAAGATATATATGTTACATTAATATCAAATGCTTACACAGGTTCACACTAAAAGTAGTAAAAGTCCAGCTTTATCAATGAAGCTGGACTTTTACCAAAGCTTTTGCAACCTCAAACTTTCCTGCTTAACTGAGGGTTCATGTTTAACTCATATTTAACCATTCTTGTTAGAATTTTTTTTAGTAAAACTGAGTTTGTGAAAATCACAAGTATGATTAACAATAAAACCCCACAACGTGATGTGTTTATCACCAAGCTGAGGTTTAAAGATGCACAGATCTGGTAGTTTTGGACAGGCATCAGGTACATGATCAGAAAATACTGAATTTATTGAGTCTCTACTCAGGTTATCAAAGTATCAACATCAAAATGACATTCATGCCCATGCTGGCTGTATGCAGAAACCTTGAATGTTTATATTAAAAATCAAAGCTAAAACTAAAAAAATATATATAATTCCTTGTGGAAAATTAACTGCATACCAAGAATAAAGGTAAATACAAAATATACGCAACTCTAGGGTACAAATTTTATTTCTATATTTTTAATTTTGCTGATAGATTAGTTTGATTTAATAAACTTTAAGAAACAGCAAACCTGTTCACAGCCTCTCTGAACTCCTTGGTCATAAACAGAACCTGCAGGATACTGTTTAGGTAGCATGTTGATCCTTGATTGATCAATCCGTAGTATGTGACTGCAAAGAGATGAAAATAGCATGTGTGAATGACTTAACTACCTTTAAATGAACAATACTAACTACTGATCCAAAAGAACTAACAATGACACACCGTCCTATTTACTAAACATTTCAACTTTTTTATGTTGTACCTCAAAGGTCTGTACTTGGGTCTCTCTTTTTTAATGATCTATTTCCTTCTACCTGTCAATCATACTTACCTCATACCTTGCACTTACATGCTCTCTGATGAAATAAAATCAAGGGAAATTCAACTGAAGCCTTGTTTGTCACCTTCAAAAAAATAAACATAACTGAATTTATACCAACATATCTGGTTGCTCTTAAGCTCCCACTTTTCCACAACTTACGCCTTACATGTACACTATGGGCCGGATTTATCAAGATCCAATTTTGCATGCAGTAATTTGCGCATGCAAACTGGAATTTTGCGCGAGGGGCTTAACCATGGTTTGCGGGTGATAACAAGAGTGATTGCGTAACTGGTGGAAGGTGCAAAGCTGTTGGAGATGCCCTATTTAAATGATGGTTTTGCGCGTTTTGTGGTTTGCGGCAAAGTAGTTTGTAGTTTGTACTGTGGTGGTTTTCAATGGTCAAAAAATCAGGACACCTTCAGTCGATCATCTGATTGCCCACAGGACGGGAGAAAAAGCGTTTATTTTATAGATCAAATTCACATGCTGTCCTCAGTACACGTAACACAGCGCTTCACATTTCAACAGAACACATCTGGCTTTTTCTCTTGCAAGTTCTCGACTCACATACCAATCCCCAGAGCATTTATAGTCTCATCTTTGCACTATGTGTACGCACATGCACAACGGAATATTGCCGACATCTTACTGGAATGCACGTGCGTACACATAGTGCAAAGATGAGACTATAAATGCTCTGTGGATTGGTATGTGAGTCGAGAACTTGCAAGAGAGAAAAGACAGATGTGTTCTGTTGAAATGTGAAGCGCTGTGTTACGTGTACTGAGGACAGCATGTGAATTTGATCTATAAAAT